TGCTACGACGAGTTTTGTAGCTTGTACCAAATCAAAAACAAGTACATATTGTGCGACGAAGCCGAACCGAGTTTTAGTAATTGCCTCTAAATAATGCTCAGTTTTGATCATTGCTTTTAAAATCATGATAATTGCCTCAAAACTCGTGATAATTACCTCTAAAAACTTATGAAAAACAAGAATACCATGATCGCTCGGACAAATGATATGGGTATCCTATGTTAATAATTATTAACCGCCGGTTCTTCGGTCCTCAAATTTCTCAAGATAAATGCTGTGTGAGGTTCAATTCTCTTCTAGTTAGTATAATTTGCAAAAAAAAGTCATCGTTTGCAACACACCGGAGGATGCCTTATTCGTCGCTACAGTTTTGGGTCGATTTTTTGAGATGTCTAAGTATTAGATGTTAAGATTTTTGTATGTAATTTGAAATAAATGGTCCGGGTAGTCGAGAGAATTTCAAGAACGAACCTATAAAAAATTTGAAAATTTGAAGTTTGCTTTTTTTTCAGGAAGTCGATGAGCAGATGATGCAAGTGCAAAATAAGAATTCATCGTATTTTGTTGAATGGATTCCAAACAACGTAAAAACTGCCGTATGCGATATTCCTCCACGAGGCCTCAAAATGAGTGCTACATTTGTTGGGAATACAACAGCAATACAAGAACTTTTCAAACGCATCTCAGAGCAGTTCACGGGTAAAATTTTAGTGTTCTCGCATATCTAGGCTTTTGGGGAGAAGTCAAAAATATACTTGAGTGTCACAAAATTGTACATAAAATGCCTTAATGGTAAAGGCTATCAGTCTGCTGAAGGCATTATCATCTTACGGATGTGAAACGTGGTCAGTGACGAAAGTTGGAGAGCAAGCGCTGTCTATGACGAAGAGAACAATGGAACGAAGGAGGCCTGACGTTCCCTTCTTGTTCATATGAATATTCAAACTTTGACATGAGCAGTGTGCAGGATATCACTTTGATATCTCATGAAACCAATGAGCAGCGTTTGTTACACATCTTGTTGACAACCAGTGGGTTTTGTGCATTAATGGGTGATATTGACGAAGGAATGAACATTCGCTCGGGCGACCCTGAAGAAGTGGAACACATAACTTCAAATAGGCATTGGGTACTAACTAAACGTATTCAACTGAGTGCTCCGAATGCCCCAGTAAATCACAAGCATGAGGTCTTTTGTCGGCTTTTTTGAGGGGGAGAGGGAGGGAGTGTGGAGGTTGGTATTTCTGATACTAGCTTATTTTGACTGAATGAAGGCCATTTAAACAATGTTCCGGCAAAAAGAAGTAATTCGACCGAGTATCCGAGCATCCTAGTGAATCATTAGCATGAGATCTTTCACCGGGCTTGGGGATATTTCTGGTATTTTTGGCTTATTTTTTTTAGGTTTTCTTTTTAACTAAATGAAAGCCATTTAAGCAATGTTCCGACGAAAAGCATTTCTGCATTGGTATACTGGTGAGGGAATGGATGAAATGGAATTTACGGAAGCTGAAAGTAACATGAACGATCTGGTATCCGAATATCAGCAGTACCAGGATGCTACCGCAGATGAGGAAGGTGAAGGTCCGGAAGGTGAAACGGAATACATTGAACATGAAGAATAAAAATTACTGGAAGCCGCCAGCATTCATTCATCATCCATATGCGCGCATAATTCTTATTTTTTTTAATTAACAAGTAATGCTAAATCCATTACGAGCGAACTATTTATTTTTTTGCATGTGTTTTTTTTTCTCCTACCAAAAAACTATGCTTCCTTTTTTTTTCGAAGTTTCATGTTATTATTATTAAAAGTTGCTTCTTTACTTATAACTCTGACTGAAAAGCATCAGAGGAGTTACGCTTTGAAGCCAGCGAACATCATCCGAGCTGCAGCAGCAGCAGCAGCAGCAACATCACTAACATGGGATACCCACACACAACTGATTGTCCAGACAAACTTGCTACCCTTTGCACCGTTTTGTCAAAACAAATAATGCTAAAAAATTGCATTTTATCATAGGTGGTGCTAAAAAATCTTGCCTTGTGGATACCATTTTCTTGCGTTTTCATCAAAAATTTCACTGATTTGAACATAAATTTTAAGGGTATAAAAATGGACAGCCCAACTGACCAGAAGATTGGTCACATACTTTTGTTCTTGGTGACCCCATCCCAGCACTTGTTTTGTGGAATTGAAGTACAGCAAAATGTACAATTTAGTGATTTTTACAACTTTCACTTTAGTTTTAGAATGCATTTCGAGCCTTTAAGTTCGAAAAAAGTTCCAAAAACGAGAGGGCGGGGGCGGGGGGTTGGGTGTAAGTTATGTTCATTTAGTGATTTTTATAACTTTATTTTAGCTTACTAAAATGCATTTCGAGCCTTTAAGCTTCGAAAAAAGTTACCAGAACTGAGGGATGGGAAGAGGGGGCAAGAAATGCACACGGGATTTTGTCCTCAACCAAATCGGGGTAGTCCTAATAATCAACGATTATGCAGTAAACTGGCACTGTGACAGCCAGTACAGCTTCCCCCTCTGCTTTGACCAGTGCCGCATCGTCTAATGGTCACTCTGCTGGCTATTCTTACGCTCGCTTCTCTCCCTGGAAAGATTACCAGTTCAGCAAATATCAAAGAAATTGGCAATTCATAAAAGTATTGCTTACTCTTACTGTGATTTATTGCTGTTCAAAAAACACATCTTCGATCTGTGCATGTTGCTAG